GTAGCATTTCTATTCATTTGTCTCCCAGGTCTGTCACTGCTGGTGTCAGCCCTTTTCCGCTGGCGATGCAACAGTTCTATTCCTTTGTGTTCCAGGTCTGTCACTGCATGTCCGACCTTTTCCGCTGGCCATGCAGCATTTCTATTCATTTGTTTCCCGTGTCTGTGACTGGTGCTGCCGCCCTTTTCCGCTGGCCATGTAGCATTTCTATTCATTTGTCTCCCATGTGATTTCTTTCTTTTTGCTGCGCTGGTGTTTTCTGCCCTGTCCGCTGGAACAGGTTCACCTGTGAAAGGTTCTGGCCCCTTTGAAAGGGGTGCGTGATTGTCTCCGGGATTGCATTCCTGCCACACTGTGTAACTCTCTCAGCTTTGTTTCCTTTTCGGGCAAGCGTTGGATGAATGACCGGATTGGATTTCGGCGTTCAGTTGGGACGGAGGGCATACGTCAGGCACCAAAAACCAGTTTCATGTCACGTCCTTCGCTCCTCATGCTTTTATTTCTTGTCCTCACGTGGTCAGCTCCCCGCTGATTGAGCAGCATGACCAGCATCATGTTCGCACTTGAAGAATAATTCCCCAAAAGGTTTGCTGTTGGGGCTTGTCAATTCTTTCTTAAGATGTGTCCGCCCGCTCTGTACGCAATCCTTTGTCTCCCAGCTCTGGGCGTCGCGAGCTCTAGTTTCGATTTGAAAAGCGCAAACTGTTTGGGGTCTACGGTGGTGTAATTTATAGCTCAGATTTGTCGCCATATACAATATGCCTTCAGCTGGGTAGTATCCACTTTGAAACCACAACTGTAAGTAATATGCACCTCGTCGGTGTAAGGTCCACCACGAACACCTTGGATCCGTCGGAAGGCAATCCTTCCACCATGGATTCCAGGATTTCCCGAGTTGCTCGTACTCCACGCTGTTGGGCCTAAAAAGTGCAGGCCACCCCCCACTCAAATGTTGTCGCTTCAAACTCATCTCAAACAAGAACTGCTTCTGCATCCAAGCAAACTCTTGGACTTGCTCCAACCAAATGAGCTTTTGTGCACAGGACTCACTGCAGCCACGCCTGAGTCCATGTCACTCAGAACACCACCCCCCAGACTGGAAGACTTCAGTCGCGTTCCAAGATTAGCAAACAAGTAGCCCGGTTGACATCGCTTCCGGCGGTCACCACCGTGGCTCGGGTCCTTGAAGAAGAAAGAAAGATCAATCGCCTCGAGCAACCCAGACTCTGACATCACCAGCTCTCACAAACAAACAAACAAACAAACAAACAAACAAACAAACAAGCAGATTGATTCGCAAACTGGTTCTAATTTCCCATGACAAGGGGCCCTAAGATACGATCTTCCAGCGCACGCCTGTTCTTGGTGACTGCTGCTGTCTCCGTGCTCGAGTGGGTCATTGGCATCAAAGTGAGCAGAATGGCGTTCGGGTTTGCATTGAGCACAGCCTTGGCCAAGGTACAGGCCTCATCCACAAGAAGTGGTCCTGACAACAATCCGGGACGCGATTGAACGATCAGGGGCGCAAGCCAGCAACAGTAGGATTCAGCTTTGGCTCGGCTCGGCCACAGGGATGCATCAAGAACCAGGAGCGTCAGCCTCAGACTACTTACTTAATACCCCTAACAACTTTAGATGTCAGTTACAGTTACATGGAGCACAGCCAGGAAACGCAGCAGGTCTGCATGCGCATCAGTGAGCCCTGCGGCCACTTCCACGTACCTGTGGTGGTCCTTCATCCACGATTCTGTGAGCTTTTTCCCCCGCCCCAACCTCGCAGAAAGGTATCGCAGGTCCAGTGCCCCCCTGCGCACACACACAAACACAATGAATGTCAATATCATACTTCAACTGGTAGTCTGGTGTAAAAAGGGCATAATAAGTGGCTGGCTGACTACTATGCGTATTGCGCCTGTTTGTTTGCAAAGTCTTGGGCCCTTTCCATGTAGTCCGTCATCTTGGCCAGATCAGCCAGAATCTGAGCCTCTGTGTGTGCACTCCCTGCTTCGGCCAGCTGAGTAGCAAGCCTCAGATTAGCCGTTGAGATTACAATGTGTAGTCCAGTGTAGTCCCAGAATAGCAAATAGAATTCGCAAGCCAATTTGTGTTGCAACGATGGATGGAAGCAAAGAAACTCTTCTGCAGCAGTATCTCTCTCCTCTTCAACCTGGTACAGAAACATGGCAAGCTAATTCCAGGCCAAAAAATCTTTGCCACAAACGACGCAATAACTATTGAAGCCTAGAACCATCACTCCGGCCTGTTTGTTGTGTTTGGCGCAGGCTGTCCGGAAAGAAGTGATTCGGCCCAGTTCTGCTGGAGGAACGGAGTTCTCAAGCATGTCAGTGAGTTTGCTGTCCAGGTGCTTGCACATAAACCTTGAAGTCCAGCATCATTGCGCGAAGACTCATATCATACAACGAAGTAAATGCTACAATCAAACATGCAGCTGACAGTGCACTATCGCTGTAGCTTTCTCCCACATGACATGGTTTAAATTTTGGGTGCGAGGCACGCTCGTTCAATCGCTCCCCGTTCAGCTGTCACAAAGGCCTCTGGGAATGTGGATTCAAAGGTTGACGTAGCTGCCAGAAACCCGCCGCAACACCTCTGCAAGATCTCCTTGGGCACATGGCCGGCCCGGTGGCCAATAAATAAATTCATCCAAACATCCACACAAAACGATCCATTGATTGCACAGTCGTGTCTCAAGAATACACATATTGTCTAATGGTTTTTGCGCCAATCGAGAATCCACATGGCCAAAGCTGTACGGTTTTCTCATTTTGGGGTTGAGCGCTGCCCAGTCTGATTCAAGACGTTGAATGAGGAGGCTGAGGGTCTTCGGGTTGTTCGTGAGCTCTGCACTCCAACATGACAAATGACCAGGTGTGGAACAAAAATCTCTGTTGAATGCGCCATTGTGAATCGCATCGTGTGTGAGAAAGCGGTGCATTGTTCTTCGCCTAACACGTTAGATGGTGCAGTGACTGCGAACTGCTGACAACAAACAACAGTGAAGCTGGCAACAAACTTCCACACGAGGTCAGAGCACTTTACAAGCTCGCTCAACTGCGATACAACGGCCGCGTCCACATTGTTCAAAAGCATCAAAGCCGCTCCAGCTTCACTGCGCCCTATCTTATATGCATCTGCCAGTTGGCTGGCCCGTTCCCAGACCTGAGCCCTATCTGATGTTGAATCTGACTGACTAAATTAAGAGACTGAATATGCGTTGCACAATGACAAACAAGAACAAACACCCTTTTGAGCAGAAAACAAATCAACAGTCAACAAGTTACTTCAGAAAGGCCTTCCATCTTCATTTTCCTCAAGAGGGTCATCTGATGAAGCAGGTTGAAGCAATTGGGCTTTCGTCGTATGGAGGAAGCTGTAGTGATGCCTCGTCTCTCAACAGAGTAAAGCAAGAATGAAAAGTAACGACACACTGGTCAGCCAGCATCATGCAATGAAGACTTCTTATTAAATTTGCAACTTGAAAGCTTCTGTTTTGCATCACGTGATCCGCTGCGTCTGTGGAGACAATCACAGTTGCATGCACTGTCGCAAATGTCCTGGGTGGAAACATGATTGAAGAACTGGAGTTTTAGATCGAATAGCAGGTAGGTGTTGAAGCAACTAGTAACTGGTATCAGATTGTTGTCATAGTTTGAATCCTACCCCAAGGCTCCTCAGCCAAGTCGTGCTATCGGCTGTTGGCCTTGCCTGGTGTTGAATATTTATACGCAACAACACACGATAAATGTGTCAATAATTGCATTCAACACCCTTTCGTCCAGCCTGAAGGAAATCATCTCGTTCGTAGCAGCACAACAGCACTGAGTACGCAGCATACATTCTGCTCCAACCCTTGACAAAAAAGAACGAGTGTGGATCGGCCATGTTGTTATGCGTCTCCACCTCACCTCCATCCATGTCTGACAAGCGCAAGCGATGGGCAGGAACCATTCCGAACTGAGGAAACTGCTCAGCAACAGCAAGTTTCTCTACACCTCCTTCGTTCGGATCAGTTGTGAACCTCACGACTTCCAGTTTGTGAACAAGAACGTGAATATATAAGTGTTCCTCCACACACAAAAAAAAACAGTTCCAGCAGGGAAAACAACTATTCCAAGCCCCTGACCCATTTAGAATGATGAGCTCACACAGGGAAAGATGAGCGTCCTCCAAGGTATCAAAAACATGTCAGTTCGATGTGTCGCAACGACAAGTTCAATTGATGGGGCTGTCCGGCTCAAGGATTCCTTTGAGCCCGCACGAGGCTGACCATGGCAAGTGCCATGGCCTGAGGAAGGTCCCTCCAGGCTTCTTGTACACTGAAGCATCAGCGTACTTCCTGCAAAACGCGCTTAAAAAACAAAAACAGCACAGCGAAACCCAAAGGACGTCAATGTATGTTGCCGCTAATATTGAGCCCCCTGCACACCAGGTTCTGGAGGGAACTGCTCATCGATCCACTTCAGGAATTTCACAGTGGCATCCTGCCAAATAAACCCAACACTTTCGTCATTGTGGGATCAGTGCATGGGAATGCATTGCAGCAATCTAGTTTTAAGATGTTCCCAGGAAAAAAAGGTGTGTGAAGACATGAGAGACGTGTGTGTTTGTTAAATTGTTTCTTCTTCACTGGTTCCTTTGCTGTTGCGTCCTTCTTCCCAAGAACATCATCAATGTATCGATCGAAGGATCCATGAGAGTCGGTACGTTCCTTCCTGAGACAACTGTGCCACCCCATCCAACAATAACGAGACATTGACAAGAAATATCCGAAAGACCTAATTGCAAAGCGCTCAGAGCTGTGAACTGATTAAAGTAAGTCGGGGCACAACCACTGGCGGAACATTTCAACACACGGAGTGAAGTCACCAATGTCTGCCTGGTGAGGATCGACCTTGCACTTCAAACCACCACCATCGGACTCGTCCGCCTTCAACTTCTTCGCGCCACGGGCACTACCCCCTGATATTTTCCGCTTAGCAGGCATTATGAAGCGGAACCATGAACCTGACGGCCCCGCTCACTGTTGGGCCAAGTGCATTTAAGGCGTCAACGATGGAAGTCAGCTACCTTCAACTGAGAAGCTCAGCCCACAAAACAATTTGTTCTGGTGTTGATGAAGCATTCTCACTGTTTGTTTCCCTGAACACTGAACAGCTTCAGTCTGTCACTATTTGAATTAGCTAGTGGCTCGGCTGTGAATTTGGCCCCCAGCTCTCAGAAACTGACCATCAGTCAGCCACCTGGCATCAACATAGGATAGAAATGTCCAATGTCTATTCAAAAAGAGTTCTGCGCCAGATCCATCAACATAAAAACCAACTGGTTTATTATGTGGGCAAATATCACCAACATGAACTGTGCCGGATCTCATCAAACAAGATGCCTTTACGCCAAATTTATATCAACATTAATCAACAAAAGCATGTGCCAGATCTCAAAGCAGCAAAAAAGAATGTGTGCAGGAAGAGAAATATGAAAAACTCACGCCGGATCTCATCAACATAATAAATAAGATGTGTGTGTGTGTGACGGGCGTCATCAACACCAGATCTCATCAACATAAGATGTGTTCGTACCAGATCTCATCAACATGAACCAACTTTTGTGCCGGATCAACATAAGATGTGTTAGTGCCGGATCTCATCAACATGAACCATATTTTGTGCCGGATACCATCAACTTAAGATGTGTTCGTGCCGGATGTCATCAACATGAACATCTTTTTGTGCCGGATGCCATCAACATAAGATGTGTTAGTGCCGGATGCCATCAACATGAACATCTTTTTGTGCCGGATCTCATCCACATAAGATGTGTTAGTGCCGGATCTCATCAACATGAACAACATTTTGTGCCGGATGCCATCCGCATCCGGCACAAAATTTGTACATTGCGCGCATGTGATGTGTCACCTTCTATCAAAAACATACCCCCCTAAATGTCCATGCCGCACCCCGTTTCCAGGGTATTTTTGCCATCGTCGTGAGATGAAAAGCTGCGTGAGGGAAACTCCCTCACAGCTATTGCACTATTATGCATAGCCCCCTTTGCGCTGGAAGTCAATGACATCCATCATAAAGCCCTGCCTGAACAAAGGTTGCCATAACCAACCACTGCGAATATTTCCAAACTGGGAAACAGCTACTGTAAAGGATAGGTTTTGCGCTTGATGCCAACCACTTCCAACACAAATTAACCCCGTTCGGATAAGTGACTATTTGTGACAGAAATCCGTGTTTCAGTCCACGAATTTGTGAGCAGCACCAACAGGCCTTAGGCCTCGTAAGTTACAGCATCAAAGGCTTCTCCAACTATGGACAGTGCTGCGTCGAAGCCAACACCGTTCGCCCAAAGTTGGGCAACAGCTTTGTTTCTGTAAAAAGACTTCCTCTTCGCTCGGTAACGGTCCAACACGATCTTCTTCATTCTCTCTGCGCGCAGCTTCAACTGGTTGGGCGCCTTGGCAGATTTGAACAACATGTGAAAAAAGGCACAGGTCTGGGTCATCAGTCACGTTTGGATCGCTTACTGATTCAAACTGCTGGGAACACTCAGTCTGGCAGAGTTGAGGGAACTGGGATGATATTGGGTTGAGCCACACTGCTTGCACCTGGATGCAAGCACAAGCCCAGCAATGGATGCGCGCAAACCCCGAACAAGAAATAAACCCACTTAATAAATAAGATGTAGCAGCGGCTTGAACAACAAAATTAATCGTTGGCAAGGCACAGCTTCCAGGTCCCGACCCTTGAAAGGTGCACCAGCTGTGCCAAGACCAACGCTTGGACCAGGAGCAGCAAAACATCTGTGCACTTCCAAGGGAGGAGCGCGCTCAACACTCTGGTCCGCCATGCTTTCTAAGTAGTCCGCAGCTGCATGCATCGAATATGGATCCTGTCCTGGTTCGCTGACAAAATCACTGAAGCTTGCTGAGGTCTATAGAGGACCATAAGCTATCAGTAGACTTGGACTACAACTCCAACAAGTCTAAGTTCAGTCCTGTGTTTGCATGGTGTTGGTATCTACGCGTCCTGTTTTCAGCTATTGTTTCGGAATCGGCTTGGGCATATTTTCATAGAATCTTCAACCATTGATGTTCAGGTATTATATAACTTTGGTCATATTTCTCACGAAGGGTTTAGCACAGCCCTTCCCAAAATCAAATTGAGCCCCTATTATTACCCTACAGTGATACCTTATTCCCATCATATTGCTTTGCCCCCCAAAGCGGAGCCCCAAAACAAATGTCAAATTAAGTAATAGGCACTCGCTGCAAGATTGATGGGACAAACCTGGGTCTTAAAAATGTTCTAAAGAACGCGCCAGGCACGAAGAAGCGCTGCGTGTTTCTTCCAGTTGTCTGCAGCGTTCTGGTCGAACGGCCGCTCGTCGCCAAGTACTGCAGGGACACGAAACAGTCATGAGTGTGTCTAAAATGTGTTTTCCAAGTGCCAAAGGAAAACTTTACAAGCCCTAGACAGTCCTTCTGGCACAAGGCCGGTGTTTGCAATCTCCCGTGCCACTGCATGAGGCAGGTACAGGATGGTCTTACTCTGCCAAGTTGGATCGCTCATCCACCGCTTAGTCCTTGGCATGAATTGCACTACAACAATAGCGCGACTGTGGTAAGCCTTTGGTTACTTATGCATTTGGACTATTACTCCTGGAGGTGAAGCCAAGACTCCGGAGAATCACGTCTGACCCGTGGGGTTGCAACTTGAAGCGATCCCAAAACCGAGTTTCGCAAGCTCTCCGATCAAAGCCTGCAAAGAATTGAATTTAATGATGGTATGTCAAAATTCCAGTTGGACTGCCCACGTATTATATCACACTTTGGCAAGCCTTAACATCTATAACTATCAGAAGTTATTAGACTATTGTATCTTCCTCAACTCTTGGAGCAACGCAGCAAATTTGTGAACGAAACCATACTAAGCGTCCACCACAAAGAACGATCAATGTGAAGCCTGAGATTGCAAAGTTTACACTTTGGCTTGGGCCATGAAATCTGACCCCCACAAGTCCTACACTAAACCCTTTAGTTCAGAGGGGCGAACAGGACTTGTGGGGGTCAGATTCCATGACCAAACCAAATGGAAATCTGGCAGCCTGGGATGTCATCTGCTCTGTCGAAAGCGAATACATGCGGCGCGCCAGGCCCGCCAACGCCCGCGAGATGGGAATTCCAGCAGCCCACCGCGAGGAAGGATTTCCTTGCTAGTAACATCACGCTCGTCGTGTGACAAGACTCCAGACGATGACAAGATGGGTGAAGCCACTGTCATTAAATGTTTGTAAAAAACTGATGGTCAGTTGAGCTCAAGCAAAAACAAGTCAAGTGTCCAATCCCGGGTTTGCCCAACCTCAAAAGCAATGGTTTCCGACTCATGAGGTCTTACCCCTGGATGGTCACGCCCAAACTGATTCAAGCAATCCACGAAGTCCCGAGGCAAGTGCAGCTCGGGGCAAGACTCAATGTGAGTTGCTACTGCAGAGAAGTATTGATCCACATCCTCGTGGGTGTGGGCCGTTTGAAGGAATCGCATTTCAATGCGATATATCTTCTTGAGCGCTGTCATCAGGCCACAAAAATGGAGGAGAACATTGTTCTTCGTCTCCTTCCCACAGTTGTCCGATTGGACAATGAATTCTGCTTCCCTGACGTTGTACTTCCCTGCCAAGCGGTGTATCGCATGGGACAATAGGTCCACCACCCACGATGCGTCCTTCTTCAAGTGGGGGCCACTGACAGCAATGACGCAATTGTGACCGTGAGTGATGATGGTCGACATGTCCAGGGCTGGCCGAGCGAAGGTCTGAAACTCCTTCGAGCATATCACCCTTGACCTTGGAAACTTGAATTTTGATTTGTCCATAGCGTCAGTTATCATCGTGAAGCTTCGCCGTCCACACGGCAGAAAAAAGGAGTCGCGACGTGGCCGGTGATGTCCAGTAACAGACTCGATCAGCGTAAGTCCGCTTCAAGTGCCGGACATACTCCTGCATCTGCCCTGCGCGTGCTCGTTCATTCGATATGCGCTCCAGCAGCATCTTGTGCTTCTTGCAAATTCCGCATGTTGAATGCTGTGATGGTGGCCCTATGCCCAGTCGATGAGCAAAGCTTTGACCCCACACCTCACAGCACTGAGTGACAGTGTTTGTGACAGGTGCAGAAATCACCCCCCCCCTCACCGCCCTTGGGCGAAGGAATGGCAAACTAGATTCGATCTGCAGGACCCGCAGCATCAACCATCAAGGACTAATTAATTGCTGGTCCTCATGCCCATCCAAGTCGTCCTACTACCTCCTGCTCCTGCTCCTGGCAACGCGTATTACATCTTAGACTGCCACCCTGCTGCTCCTTGCGCTCATCCTCACCTCATCCTCATTCATCCTCCTCCTCCTCCTCATCCGGACAGTGAAGCTGCAACAAAGTCGAGTGCTCCTTGACGGCAGTTGGTTGCAAAATCGTGACGGACCCAAGCAGTGGCCTGAGTAGCAGTCGCAGTAATGGTAGTAGGTAGTAGTGGCAGTAGGTAGTAGGTAGTAGTGGTAGTAGGTTAGTAGTGGTAGGAGGTAGTAAGTAGGTAGCAGGCAGTAGTGGAAGTAGTAGCACCTGAACCCATGGATTTCATTTATTATACTGGTTCTGCAGTTTAGGGAAGTAACGTTGAAGAGAGTGCCTTCTCCCCGCACAAAGCTAATAAACAATTCCAGCTGTTTTTGCAACAAAGCTTCAAAAGTTACAGTACACGGAAATTGATATCTCCACGTCAGATCCTTCCGAATGTGACAGACTGGTGTCAAGGTTATTTCAAGGATTGTGTTCTTTAAAGCCATTTCACGATTGGCCCAGCATTATTCCATTGGATTGTTTCAATGTTACGTTGAAGGGTGTTGGAGGAGGTGTTTCGATTTTGTCATGCCAAGGTGATGTAGCCAGTAGCTCTCACGCTATTACCCTAAGAACTTGCTTGATTATTGATCTATTTTGTATTCCTGTATGTCCATACACAATAACTCCGCTCAGGTTCTTTCTATTATATTTTTTGTTAGTCTAACTGTCAACCAATCAGATTCAATGGAAACAAACATACAAGGCCATCTACAACTTGACCTTGAAATAAGTCATAAGGATGCTATTTTGACATCCAACAGCAAGCCACCTTCAGGAAAAGCTTCAAGGACAGCTTCTCCCGTGGATGCTTTTGTCGCAGAAGTCGCAAATAGTCCGTAAATGTGCCAGGTGGTAATAGCTTCAAGTCAACTTGGGGCTCATCCTTAATGCCTGATTTCGAAGGCAAGGGCACCAAAGCGAGAGCTCGCTGCTGCTTCTTGGGGACCTTCCCACGCATCCGTCGAAACTTCATGTCAGGAAGAATCGCGCCGTCCAAGCATTTCCGCTTCTGCCCAAGCTCAGGCATTGGTTCTGCCACTGTGTGCAGAATCTCTTCCAAAAACTCTGCAATAATTGATCTTTTTCTCACTGACTCTTTGTGCGACCCATCATCCCTTCGGGGTCGCATTCTCAAATCTTTTGGCGTCTTTTCATTGCGACTAACAGCTCTCTTCAGCTTGTCAAAACGACAAGCTCCCAGGCCAAGAAGTTTGCGAGACCCGTGATTGCATACTCGTTTGCCCAGAACTAAATTCATCTTCCGCTGCCTAGCGTCAGGCTCTGGCCCGGCTTGCAACATCTGCATAACCTGCCACGTTGATCTAGTCAGCAAGAAACCAGAGATTGAAATGAGAAGAGGAAATCAATTGAAAAAGAACGTGAACATGTATGGAACAGTTACATCACTGACTGACTGCACACACTATGTGGACGATTCATTGTTTCTTTTCAGCGTTTGCACAAAATCTGGCTGGCCTGCTCGTCCATTTCCTCTTTGTCAAGCTTCCGCAGCCGCAAGTACAGCTTGCTGAGGTCATCTAACTGGTCTCCAAACTGTCTCAAGCATGAGTTAGAAGTTCGTTTTAGCTTCATAGCACACCTACACACAGATTGAACCACTCGGGCAAGCTTGGGTCGTACACACTGAAGGCTCAGCTGCCTTCCTGGTCCTGAAGTCCGAGGGGTCTTCAAACTTTTTGGGTCTTTCTCAAGCTTGCAGACTGCTTCCAACTTGACAAGGGGCTGCCCAGAGCAACCTTCATCATCTGACAAAGCATCAAGCGCACGGACCATGGAGCTAAAGTGCGAACACACAACTGGCAAGTTAATGGCTACAATACATATGTTGCGTGAATGGTCCTGTCAATGGTGAAGTCTGAAGGGGCCATCATTCCA